ATCTTATAGAGTATAATAATTTCCCATTTGTAGATCTTTATACTACTCATGGACTGCAACTAGCATTTTTATGAGCTCTGTGTACTGACTGAGCATGAACTCATGTTCACACATTTACGTGCAGAAGAGCTAACGCTTACTGCATACTTGCTCTGTGCCAGGCACTGTTCTAAGCACTTTCTAAGTAGTATGCTCGTTTGGTTTTCATACCAACTTTAGGAGGCAGGTGCTATGATTGAAATCCGCAAAGTAGATGTGGCTTGCCCACAGCCCTCGTTACTGAGGAGAACAGGGCTCAGATCCAGGATGTCCAGCTCAGAACCATTCTTTTATCCTCTCTACTATTTCTTGCTTTCTTCTGTCTCCTCTCCTCCTCCACAGTACTGAGGAGTTAGTTAGTACTGAGTAGCTAACATATTTATATTCTGCCTCCTTCCAAAGGACTTCAGACTTTTTGGACAGGCACTAGGTAGGACGCTGGGGTCCTGTGGTGGATAGGGTATGTTTTCCTCCTTTTAGGGAAGATTGTATACTTCCCAAGTCATGGTCACTTCTTATAAAGCTTGCGGTTCTCCCCAGCCTACCATTACCTCTCGCTCCATCTTTTTCTTTCATTGTCTTACAACACATTCAGCACTTAATGTCCATCCTTGGTGATATTTCTAGCATGTCTGTATTCCTGCGTGGTCCAAGTGCTTGTAACTTCGATGCACGTGACTTGACGCTCATAAACTACCCACAGAGGAACAGCACCTGTGTGTCTCTGTCTCCTCCAGCTCTTTTCACTGGGGCTCACAGTGGACGGTGCAGCACAGTTGGGTGCAGAAGAAAAGGCCTCCGTGCATCTCTGGAGGACATCTTTAGAAAAGGCCTTTGGTGGCCTTCAAGCCACCCTCTAAGCCCCTTCACCTGGGGTCTTTCTCTGCCCCATTTCTTCCACCGCTTTTGTTCCCCTCTCTGCCTCTAGCAGAAGGGCTGACAGAGGAAGGGAGCAGTATCTGTTGCCTGAAATTCTCAGCTAATCCTGTTGAAATTCTTACAAAGAGTTACAGAACCTAAGAGGATTCTAAGAGTGGTTTTCTTTTTAAAGTGTAAATTGGATTTACCGTATTCAGTTAGATGAGTTTGAATTCAAAGACTAGAGGAGCCGGCTTAAGTGGATGATGAAATATCCCTGGAATCAGACTCAACTGCAGCAAATAGTGCTCAAGACAGATTTGATAAAAGCTTGGGAAGGTGGGAAAGCCTTGGGAAGTCTTGGGCTAAGCACTGCCCCTTCCTACCCACCGCAGCTGGGCCACACACACCACTTATGAATAGTATCAGTTCAGGAAAATTGCAGCTCTTTCTGCAATTTTCTGGGGTTCTCCAACCCCAGATCGGGCAACTGTAAAAGAGGCTAATGATACCTACTCCACCATTTAGGGGGTGGCATGATCATCAGAGGAGATAATGGGCACTGGAGGCATCCAGAGAACTGTGAAGTGCTGGGCAGATTGGGTACTTAATGTGCTTATCACTAAGCATAGGCCAAGTAATCACCAGGGTCAATAGAAGTCTGGGGAGGGGGGTTGTTTTGTTTTTTGTTTGATTAGTTGGTTTTGTTTTATTTGCCTGAAAAATGATAGTGTGCTCATTATATAACAGGCCACTTCTGGCATACACTGTTTAGGAATAATTGGTGCTGAGCGCACTATTTTATCTATGTGAATAAGAAAACATGAAAAAGCCCAGAGAACACATTGTTGGTTTCAAGGAGATTGGGAGGGGTGTGTTAGATACGGCACAAAGCTTCGTTTGGCTCCGAGACGTGCAGCTCCTTGGAGAAGACTTTATCAGGCTCTCCTGCAGACTTGCCATGGCCTATGGGGCAGCGCTGTCTTACCCGGGCTGGAGAGGCCAGGAGTGGTAGGACAGTTCTTCAGATGGAGTGAAAGCGGTCAACCCTGGAGCTAACCTGATTCAGTATCTCTAAAAATGAGCCAGAAGGGGGAGTGATGATCCGGGAGCCAGGGCTGCAGCGGACTGGGAAGCTCTTTAGAAGTGGAGAGAAATGCCGGACAGATGGGGAGACACTACAGGAAGCCAGGATGAGTGGGCAGAGAAGAGGCTGAGGACTCGTAATACGGGCAAAGACAAGTGGAGCATTGTGACAAAAAAGTGGCCCAAATCATGTTTTATTATTCATCCATTCACTGACTTTTCCAGAACTATGTGCAAAACGTGGTGTTCGGATTGTAGTATTTAAGGGAGGAGGACAGGGAGGAAGGACACTGAGAGAATGCTGTCTCTGCCTTTAAGGAGCATAGGATACGGCTAGGGGAAAGACAGGAACGCAAATAAAGATGGCAAGGCTTTAGGTGGTAAACCCCACAGGAAAGTAGTATGCAAGTTACCCACGAGACTCAGAAGGGACTTTGTCCCATAGAGAGCAGCCATAGAAATCAGTTATTGTTTTCCAAGGAGGCCGTCTTCCCGGCCCTGCGGAATTACCAGGATTTTTCTGGAACTGCTCTTGGTGAGGGCATAGGATAAGCATTTGGAGGTATTTGGAGTGTTTTCCAAGAAGTACTCGTGCGAGAGGCTGCTAAAGCCTTAGGCAATGTTGGGAAATCTTAGGAAAAGCATTAACTGCGAAGAAGTCAGAAAAAGCACTACATGCGAAAGAGTCTGTTGGAGGAAACCCAGAGCACGTCTGAGTTAAGCCATTCCACAGTACCATCCAGCGTAAACGAAAGTGCCCGGTCCATTGAAACGGCTACACTGCCAAAGCGTCTGCACATAGCGCGGAGAGAGGCTGGCCGGGACCAGCTGAGCTCTAGTGAGGTCACCCTGGGGCTTTGAGTCGTTTAGAATCTCAGAGGTGGTGTCCAAGGCTGTTCTGGAATTAAGTGATTGCTTACTTCAAAATCAAAGAAAGGAGCAGCTATCAAAGACTTACACAAATCTTATTTTAGAAAAATGAGTAAGAAACATTATGAAATGCCCCACTAGAACTTTATATAAGGGGGTTTTGGGGAAGGTGCTTAATCAACTAATTGCAAGTCAAGGCAATGAAAAGAGTAACTGTGCTTCTTTGGACCTACAGGGTTTTCAGGAGTTCTGGTTCGAAGCAGACATTTCCTCACAGGTGGCACAGGGCCTTGATATGGTCGAGCATGCAAGCAGTCACGTTCCACAAAACAGGCCGCGATCTTGGCCTTGTGCACAAAGTGCGTGGAGGTGAATGGTGAAAAGTATTCTCCCTGGGCCACTCAAGGAGAGTTTCCTAGAGACCAGAACAGTAGGACAGGATTCCAGTGAGAGAAGCGTGGGGAGCTGGGTCCTTCCAGGGACAAAGAACAGCATGTGTTTGAGGGCCCACGGAAGAGGACGATGGATGAAATGTAGAGTCTTCGGACGCTGAGCACCAGCTCACGGCCCTATTCAGCTGTTATCGCATCTCTGAAAGCCTGACCTTTCCCTTTTCCTCCCTAGTCTCACCGCCACCCGTGAGGTAAGGCTTTTGTCAGCCTCCTCCAGGAGCAGAGCCGTACCATATGCCCCGTCCCTATTCTCTGCGTCCGCCAGTGACTCCTGGTCACTGCCGACGGCTTCCCCAGATGTGCAGAGCTCACCATGTCACTCCTCTGCTCAAACATTTGAGGACCCCCTCACCCTTTAGTGGTAGGTTTTGATTATTACTGATACAGAATTTCCCATTTCTGGCATAATAAAATATGGTTCTGCAATGGAGAAAAAAACAACAGTTGCACACTTAATCTGGAGAAAAGGCTGTAATGACACTTTCTAGCTCTTAGACAATGCCAGAGGATGGACACGGGCCCACCCAGTAGAAGCTGACCCTGTAATTTGGTCACTTTTTTGTAGACTGATCCGATGGATTACAGATGTGGTGAATAAAGAGCACACCGCCTTCCCTCAGAGCCGCTAGTCTAGATGAGGGGCAGATAATACACATGTTATCACCCAAATAAGTACTTAATGTCAGACCTTGCGGGACAGGTAAGACTTCAGGGAAGACACCCCAGGGACCTAACTTACTTCACTGTAGAGATGGTACTTAAGGCCCCAGGAAAGGCTGGAACTGCCAAGGGACAGGGTGGTGTGAGAGGGCTCCCCAAAGAACTTGAGGATTAGCAACACAAGGGACAGGGAGGGCAGCCAGGAACCCTAAGAACCGTCAATCAGAAAACACAAAGACCAGAAAAACGTTTATCGCTGAAGGCGGGAGGGAGGGGTTTCGAGCAGGAAGACGTAGTTAGCGATTCTGAGCACTGCTAGGTGATAAATCAGACGAAGTCCGCACATTGATGCCCCACCCCCGCAGCAACAGCACCTGGACTGTGGCCGTCCCTTCCTTCGCCTCAGGGCCAGCTGCCCTCTGCGGTTTCTAAGCTCTGGTTTTCACCTGCAGGACCTCTGTAGCTCTGGGCACTGTATTCCAATGGCCTAATACCCGTTTAACTAGTCAGGCTACAGGCCAGCCTGCTGCGCCTGGTCAGTCCAGCAGTAGCCCCAGAGATGCAGCAAATCTTGGTTTCCCATCACCTGAGGAAATGGCAGTTTCCTTGGTGCAAAAGTGAAGCAAGCCACTCTCTGCTGACATGTACAGCCTGGAGGCAGCAGAGGAAAGAAGCAACCCTGGCCTCACAGAAAGCTGCCAGGCGGGAGGAACAGATGGGATGACGCACCCGTGGCCGCAGGATGTGCACCGTGCGTTCTCCTCCTCCGCAGGCGCTGGCTGGACACTGGTAGAGCAGGGCCAGCACAGGTCTCACAGCTAATAGCAGCAGGAGTAGAACCCAGGCCACTTGCCTCTGGTCTCAGAGCCCCTGAGGACGTTACCACTTCATCCTGCCCAGGAGAGCTGGCAGGGGCCTCCCACGTGGTGGAAGGAAGAGCACCTTCCGCCTCCCCCAGAATCCCTGTCAGGCTCTGACCCTTTCTGTGGAGCGTTGCAAGTTTAGTTTGACTTCTACGTTTTATGTCTTTCATAGACGTTGAGCTGTGTCTGCTAAGCAGAGCTTGTACCTGTGAGGAACAAGTCACTCGTGCTAAATACACGATGGCAGCAGATCCTACGGCAGTCAGGGGAGGCTTTCTACGAAAGCAGCTCCCAAAGAAGCTGAATGGCCCAAGAACAAATGGTCCAACTACCACAGCTGGAAAACGGGTAAGATGGGTGGACCGCAGCGTAAGAGCCGCACAGAAAGAGACCCAGCAGCACTGCACATTAGACACGACTGGACTGCCTCCCGTGATCGGTGGAACTTTGTTCATGAGCCAAATACTCTCGACCTCTGCTGGCGCAGCACGTTTTCCCAGCCTGCCTCATCTTGGGCCTGGACTTTTATTCAGTGACTGATCTGGACTCAATTTGGCTTCATGTTAGTATGAGTGACCAGGATCAAGACCTTGCTCGGACTGTGTATGCCTTACGGAGTAAGGGATTGATGTGTGAATAAACCACGCGTTCAAAAGACAGTCTCTGTCTCTTGCCTGATCTATTTCCGTCCCTTACTCCCTGGGAGGTGCTTGAGACAATACCTGCTCTTGCCCTTTTAGGGCTTTCAGAAGCTGGCCTGGACTGTGTGGAGGAAGCTGGAGGCGAAGAACTGACCTACAAAGAGACCTGGAGACTTCCTGGTCAGGTCTCCTCCTGCCTTTCCGTTGCTGCTGGCTTGTTGTTTTGTCGGGCGCCTTCCTCCGGCAGGAGAGGCAAGGCGGTGCCACCTTGCCGGCCCCAGGGGAAGAGCTGGTCAGCAAACACCACGGTGAAGTAGCAAACTATTCTCTGCGTTTTCTTTGAATCTTACTGGGTAGATGGGGTTTCATTTGTGACAGCAGACTTCATTCCACCTATCTGTATAAACGTGGGAAAGGAAAGAGGAAAGAAGAAGAGAGGGAGCTGTGTCTCTTACTACTCTCTCAATGGACTTGGCTGTTGCCATGGTTAGTTTTTTCAAAACATTAAGTTGGGACCTTCACTCTTGCTCCACTGGAGAAGGAATCAAAGGACAAGGAGTCTGCATCGGAAGAAAATCTGATGAGCGCAGGACTTTCCCTGCTTCCTGCGCCCAGCCTATGTCTTGCCCTGTAGGAAGAGCTGTGTTACATTTCACACTCTTTATTGCAAGGAAGGTTAACTTGAGCCAGATCTTTTTCCTGAGGACTCTTAGAAGCTTTCAGTCCTTCTGCTAGGAGCAAAGCGCAGCTAGACAACTGTAGGGATTTTGGCATGCTGTCACCTCAAGCACTGTCCTGCAGCCAGCACCGTCCATTGCAAAATGAAATGCGGGTCCTCTTGTTACTAAGCAGGAAGAAAGCCTACCCCTTTCTTCAGTCGCCAGCCACCTGTGGGTTTTGTTTGCTGTTTAATGTTGCGCTCTCTTGGGCTTAGGGAAATCTGTGGGGCCAATGCAGACGTAGGCCCTTAGCTATGGACCCAGCCCCAACACTGCCCACGTCTGTGCCCTAGGAGATGACACCGCACATGAGGATTCCAGTTCCCATCAGACTTCTCTTACGAAATACAGATTCAAAGATCAAGTGAAGAATTTCAGCGTGGAAACTGCAGCTCATTGCCCCTTCTGAGTCCCATGCTTTATGTGACTGCAGTGGCCTGTCACCCTGGAAGCTGGCCCTGCCTGCTCTTCCCTCCTGTCGGGGCACGAAGGTCCCTCTTGTGGGGATCCCCGCCCCACAGGCTGGGACACTTAAGCACTGTTCCCACTGTCACCACCTTGCCGGCCCCAGGGGGATGGCTGGTCAGCAAACACCGCAGGGAAGTATCAAACTCACTATTCTCTGGGTTTTCTTTGAATCTTACTGGGTAGATGGGGTTTCATTTGTGACATCAGACTTCATTCCACCTACCTATTTAAACAGGGGGAAGGAGAGAGGAAAGAAAAACCTGGAAAGGGCCTTGGACTACAGTAGAGCTCTGAGCTTTAGCCAGCACCAGGGAATCTCCCAGCCCAGATATTCTGCTGGAAGTGTCCTGCACTGGCTGGAATGAACTACCCCAAAATATATTTTTAAACTTTGGATGTAAGACTTCATTGAGGCATAAACGATATTCAGTAAACCTCAAATACCTAAAGTGTACAGTTTGTTCCTCAGTTTTGCTGAGTACTAGTCTATGGCATGGCTACACACAGTTTACCCATGCACTTTTTTGGGGGGGTACCAGGAATTGAACTCAGGACCTTGTGCTTGCCAAGCAGGCACTTTTATCACTGAGCTATATGCCCGGCCCTACCTATGCACTTCTTAACAGCTCTGTCATTTTGAATAGGGCTACTATGAACATGAGCGTACAAGGCTTTTTTGTGGACAGATATAAATCTCTTAAGAGTGGAATGTCTGTGCCCTATGGTAGGTACATGGTTAAATCTTTAAGAAACCGCCAAATTGTCTTCAAAGTTCCACTGCAGAGTTCTGGTTGTTCCACATTCTCACCAGTACTTATTCTTTGTCAGTCTAACTTTTAGCCATTCTGGAAGCATCTGACTATGGTCTTACTTTGCATTTCCTTGATCACTAATGGTTTCAACTATTTTTAAAAGAGCTTACTGATCACTCATATATCTTCTTTTATGAAATGTCTGATCATACATTTGCCTAATTTAAAATATATATATATATATATATTGTTTTACTTACATGTTTTTAAGTAATGAAGTGAGTTCTACTCACTTTTACACACCTCTACTCCTACCCCGGGTTGTCAGATGAAAGAAGGACCAGTGTCTACTCCCTGGGGAAGGGATGTGGTATGTGTTCTCTGTGGTAGGTAGGTGGTCGACGAGCCGACCACACACCAGCCAGGAAATTCAGGGGGCAGGCAGGTCTGGCTGCAGATAGAGCCTTGGGGAACAGAAGCATGAAAGTTACTTGGACACTTACACTGAAGGATTATTTAGTATAAAAATGGAACCTACAAGTATGCATTCTCTTCAGACTTCCTACACTGTCCATTCTGACTCATCATTAGAGGAATTATTCACAGGAATACCTCAGCAGGGAGGTATTAGAACAAGAAATGGGAGGTTGTCTCATACTTTGGGGGAGTGCTGGTCCCTCCGGAGATGGTCACAAGGGTCCCCACACACAGCTTGGTGGGTGAAGCTCTACTTCTATGTTCATTTGATGATTATGCCAAGTTCAAGGCAGATCATTGCCGAACCAAAATCTTTCTGGACCCACCTAGGACCTCAACCTGTTTCTGCCTGCCAGTGTCATCATATATATCCCCCAGGCAGAAGAGCTACAGGGGCTCTGGTCAAAAAGCCCTCAAAGTCTTTGAGCTGACTGATACAAGAATCAAAATAAATATGGATGGAGAGAGAGTTTTGTTCCAGGGGTAGTCAGAGCTGCCACAGCCTCCCACCCCACGTCTTCTACCCAAATACTGTCTCCAGAAAGCTTTGTTAAGTGAAGCTCTCTTAAGTCTGATCCCTTCTCGAGGAATACCTCAAGGGGGTGCAACACCACAAGCCAAGGGAACCAGGCACATAGTTTTGCAAGTTTGAAGCAACATCCTTGGAAGAAAGCTCTGCGTTCTTAATTATCATTTCAGCCCCAACACCACATGCCCACACCAGCCGCAGCTCTCTTCTCCTCCACCTTCTTCGGTGGCATGTCACCTGACCCGTTTTGGATCTTGTTTGATTTTCTGTCTTGCAGTCCTTAGCTGTTGTAGTCTAGGGATGCCCTCCAGGGAGCCCTCTCTGACTGTCCTCACAGCAAAGATCCCTCCGGTTCCTAGTCCACTTCCCTTGGGAAGTACATCATGACAAGAAGTGGCAGCACACCCTGTGGCCACTGCTGTCACAGCCAGTGGCAGCACTGGAGGATGCGACATCTGAGTTGCTCCTGAAGGAGCTTCTTCTGTGAAGGAGGCCTGGGTCACCATCTCCGGCCAGGTGACTTAGCACGTTAGTTTTACTAGGACCAGAGGGGCGATCTCAGTGACAGTTTAAGATACCTGCTTATGCCACATGGCACAAGGAACATGTGGAGGCTTGCAGTCAGACTGTTCCCTGTTTAGGTAACATCCTGACAAAGGACTGAGCCTGATTTATTCACACACGTGTAAAGTGGAGACACTGATCATACCTTTGCACAGCGTAAGGTTTGAACAAAACTGTACACTAAATCGCCCAGCATGCCTGGCACTTGTAAAGTTCCCTGCTCACAGTCACGCCTCCAGATTTTTTTCCTTCCTTTGCCACAAAAAAGGTGATATTATGACAAGTGTGGCTCATCTAGAAGCGTTGGGACATTTTTGTCAAAAAGTCAGTCATGTAGGAATTGATCGAGTTCCTGCCCGATCATTTCCATTCAGCCCTGAAGGTCTGCAAAGTGAATTGCTCCATGCACAGTGGGGGTCAGCAGGGCTGTATTGACAATGAAACTGCTATTGCCTCCCCTTGCCCAGCCCCAAACCAGACTCAAACCTCGGGTTTGAAGGGAAAGCACCATCAAGTTGCCTAAACAAAGATCTTGGTGGAAACTCATTCATGGGATTGGAGCTGTCCTGTCTCCTGAGAAGCTGTCACTGCTAGACAGGCTCATTCTGATTTTCTGATTTATACTGACACTATTCACCGTGTGTGTGCAATCCCAACACTGCGGAATGGCTTGGCTTAGTCTATACGGCAGTCTGTTCAGAGTATTTCCTAATATGCCTCAGGTCTTGCAATCATATGTCCGTCTCAGCCAGGAGGCTCCTCCAGCCGGCCAAAGTGACAAGGTCGACTGTGCCACTGCCCCTTTGTTTCCGTACGCACAGATACAATGCAAAAGACACAAGCCTCAAAGCCAACAGAGACGCCGTTTGGAACCTACTGCAGAACCGCTGCAGACACAGCTGCCACTTGTAATACACATATTACTGTATCTTTGCTTTCACTCAAATTCCCCTTCGCATTTAGGAGACTACAGTTTACAGAAAACTGGAAACACATCAAGGCACAGCCAACACAAAGGATGTAATTATTTATTCAAGGTGCTTGACTTCAGAGCCACAAACACGTTTCTACAATAATCACCACACTGCAATATAAGTATCTTTAGTCCTAAAGAACAAAACATACAGAATGCTACTCTGTGCTTTCATAGTGCATTGCTATAAAGAAAAGTTTTCTGCAATTCAATTTAAAATACTAACACTGCTAACTTCCACACAAACTCATCACGAGGAGGAATTCTTTCTGCCGGAAGTTGGTAGCAATAGCAGAAGTGCAAATTGCGAACAGCTTTTAAATCAAGTACAGCTGCATTGTGCTGCTGAGGTACCTTTCTATAGCACAGCAACCGTAAGTCCTGAATATTCTGAGATTGTCCTGATTTTGAATGGCCATTGCTAAGTTTTGTATCCAAGGTACCCCACTTTAGTTTGGGGGGGCAGTTTCTAAGATGTTGGCATACAGTTCAATTTAAAGAAAAATGGGACAGCGTTCTTTAAAAAAAAAAAAAAAGAAGTCAGTATCACCATCCCAACTGTCTTTGAAACTGCAATTTTCTTAAGTCTATAGTATCTTTATGCAATAGTTTCCCAACTCAGGAAGATTTTTTTTTTTTTTTGCTTCCTTCATAAACCCTCATCTTTCTTTATGCACTTTGAGTACCCTCAAGTGGGTTTATAATTATACAATCTTGTTGAAAGGGTACAGATGAAATAATTGTTTCTTATCTCCAACTCCAATTTTCTAGAAAGGCATTTAAGTTTTCAACTCCAGGGTACCTGAAAAAAACCAAAGATGGTACAGATGGCTATAACTTCTCCTATTTTTAGTTTTGGAATGAATCTTTGTTTTGTAAAACAATGAACGCAAGTAGAAAAAATGCTTGCTTTTGTGCAACGGAACAGAGAAAAGAAAAACCAGTCCTTGAATATTTACAACAAAAGACCATCACTTGCTACTGTTACTGACGCTGGATTAAACAGTTAAAGTTTGAGAGTAAAACAATGTTGCTACTCATTAAATATTTCAGCAGTTCAAAAATTCACACCTAACGGTGCACACCACTCGGCAACATTCTGCACACTTCTATTTTGATACAGTGTGGATTTTTCCCTGTAAATGAAAATCCACAGACACAAACTATGAAAGGATAGATTATTTCCCCTTTCCATTTTCATGTCAAGGAAATATTTTAAAGTGAGCTGTTTTCTGATCACAAATTCATGTCCAGCTTGATTTTATCAAGAAGCAGTTATTCAAAAGAATACATCGTATTTCTAAAAGTTAGCTAAGACCAACTAATAAGACCTGGAAAATGAGCACATTTCAAAGAATTTTATTTTCTTCAATAGTTGCATGAGTTTTTTTTCCAGGAAAATGTGCAAAGAGCAAGGTTACCTGAGTCTGCTGGTCACTTCTAGTTTTGGACTCTTGAAGATGGTGAGTTTTCTTAATGATGCGCGGCTGTTTAAGAACCGGGTGGTTTTTCTAGCAATCACTCTTTGTGTGCCATCTTTTATAAAGGTGCTTCTTGTTGCTAAGAGATCAGTTGCTTAGAGACGAAATCATTAAAAAAAATATATATATGTCAGGGGCTAACATAAATTATAACCAAATTGTGTCGTTTCAACTCACCCTCTGAATGTTTGGCTTTTGTAATAGATCGTAGCGTACCAAGAGAAGCCAATTACTAATCACAAAGAGAAAACCAACCAGGAGGAGGAAGAGAGATCTGTGTGTACTCTCCGTGGACAGAGAGTAATGCCACAGGCTCCCTGAATACAGCCACATTGCCAGGCTCGCACAAACTTCGGCTGCTTGTGGGGGTCCTGCGCATACAGATTCAGAGAAGGAGCCCTGTCCCAGGCAAACTTGTATGCAGTTTGGAGGATGAACATGTGTGGGAATTGTGCAGCTACTTTAGTCTTTTTCAAAGGGCCAATTAAGGGAGAAAGAAATGCTACACTTCAGAGACACATAAGCTGGAAATCTGAAGTGATCCTAGCCTTTGAACAGATATTTCTTATGTTGTCATTGCTTCAGGTCCAGGAGTGTACATGCTGGGGAGCAGGGACCGTGCTTGGATGGAAACCTCTCTCCCTCTGTCTTTTCTGTTAGGTATCAGATACAGCACTGGCTGAGGGACAGGCATAAGTGCTGTCAGTTAAGCAGATAAAATTTCTCTCAGAAGGTCTTAAATCTCCCACTTCCTGGTGACTCTGCCCCTCGAGACTCTGCCCTATGGACTAAATACCACCCCTACTAGGGACATTTGCATTTTAGGAATGCTGTGTACTTATAAATGAAAGAAATTTGAGTTCCTTTAATATTCAAAGGAATGGCAGCTTCCTAAACAGGTAGGATGAAAGGTGTTCAGAGCAAAATAAAGCCAGGCACAGCCTTTCATCCACTCGCTCTATGATGTGACCCCTTGTGCATCTCTTTTTTCTAAGCCTCCTCCGTCTTTCAAGGCCTCCAACCTCATTTTAGACAAGAAAAAGCAAGCAAATAGGAGACCCCAGGGCCAGCCATTATGGAAGTTGTTTTTTTTTTTTTTTTTTTTTTGCCTTGGGCTCAATCACCTGAGGTCCGGGTGGTGGTGAGCGGGGGGTGGGGGATGGAGAGATCTTCTCAGCTCACTCCTTAGCTCTGCCAGGCAGATCAGCAACGCCCTGTGTCTCATCTACAAAGTGGATTGTACATGAAAGACCCACAACCGGTTTGCATTTATTTAGGAAGAGATATACATCAGTTTTTAAAAAGGAATGGGACTAGCAGCAGAAATTAATCACAGTAAGTCCCTGGCATGTGAACATTCCTGCTATGCCCTTTCACAGGTGTCCTGTATGACTCCGCCAGGTTAGGAACAAATCCGCCTCACAAGCAACGCTTCCAGAACGGAACTTGTCTGTGAGTCTGAGACTCACTGTACCAAAGGAAACAGAGCGCTAACCTACCCCAGCCCAGGCTCTGAGTGCCGACAGGCCGCGAGCATTTGAGTTGCACACGGTGGACTTGCGATGCCAACCAGGCATCTTCCCTGAGGTCTGTCTTCCTTCTAACTCCCAAATCTCCTTCTGCTGCTTATATTTTGGGAGAGAAAGGGGAGGGATTGGAGATAGAAGGAATTAGGGCAAGAAAATGAATTTTCTGGGTACACATTCAGTGCTTCAATGCCCCTGGAGGAAGGAGGGGAGCAAGAGGAGGCGAAGAGGGGCAGACGTCGTGAACATGACCGTGTGTGTGCTCTTTGCGGGCCAAAACCGTCTTCTACTGCTCTTTTCCCAAGTCCAAGCACTTTGCACGGGGCTTTTGTAGGATCAAAATCTTTGTTACATTGTAAGTCAAAAGAGGAAAAGGGAAGCAATGTGTCTGAGGGGGTCAAACTCTTCCTTGACTTGAACCACTGGACCCTGTTACTGGTTCCCTGCATAGGACCGAGCTCTGCATTGAGACTTGCACTTTGGACTCAGGTCTAAAAGAACAAGCCTTCCCTTCCTATCTACCCATCCTGTTTTCTGCACAGTTTTGGCCCTAATTTGGCTCCCCCTTGCCTGGCAGGTCGCTGGTCTGTTTTTAGCTTCTATCTCTAGGATATGGGCCTTCCCACCTGCCTTTGACCACTTCTTATCAGACTGTATTTCAGGCACCATTCAAGGTGCAAGCCTTCGGCCAGCTACAGGTTTTCCCCCACCTGGGTGGAAGTGAGAAAAGGCAGCCGTCAGTGATGGACCCTTCCCGTTGCTAACCCTCCACAAGGCAGGAGGAAATAAGCTTGGACCACCAGAGCTCTACATGCAGATGCTCCAGTGTGAAGCTCTGAAATGCTTTTCAGCACAGATGTAACGGTACCACGCAGTACCTCGACCACAGAGCCCCGCGCTCGGAGCCCACCACGGCTGGGAAGCCGCCGGCACGCAGGAGGCCCGCCTCCCAGTCTCAGATGGGAGCTTTCTTCTCTGTGTTCCACAGGCGCTGACACCAGTGAGTTTCTCCTGCCCCAGGGCAAGAAAATACTGCTGGAGAGACACCAAGTCCCAGGGCATCCTCTGTCAGAGCGACTGCCATTGGAGGTGCCTCTCACTGGGAAAGTCAGTGTGCCCTAATCCCACTCCCAACTGAGCAGCCAGAGGTCCTCGTGCAGTCCGCTGCCCACTGCCCAGCAACCAGGACTTCCCAGGACGGGGCCTCTCCTGGCTGACCGCCCACCAGGTGCCGTTTATGAGAAGCTGTGCAGCCCTTCATTAGCTAGAAGGTAGGAAGGATGCATTCCTACCTTGGAAGCTAACAGTGTACTGACCACTTTCCTATTTCTCCAGAAAACTGGCCCCAGACAAGACTGGATGGCCTGAAGAGAACGTGACTCCCTAGGTAACGGTGGAGACTCTTCAAGTCCAGGCCGCTGTCTGCAGGTCTCTGGAGCAGCTAGCAGAAGCTCCTCCATACAGGCCACACAAGGTTGCTGGCTGCGGCCGTCTCACCCTGCCAGGTGCCGTATGCTGGAGAAGCCACTCTGAGAGGCAGGAGCACCCGGAGCAGTAGAGGAGGGTCTGTGCTTCAGTCCCATCCAGCCCAGCAGTGACCAAGAAAGAGCAGGAGGGGGGGTGTAACAGAGCACAGCTGCTCCAAGTTAAACCCTGGGCGATTCTGGGAGGCAGGCGAGAGCCCAGGAGAGTTTGCCTTCTGATAAGACAGCCACTCCTGCTAGCCAGAGGTACTGCGACCAAGCTGCTTCTCCCCGTCTGGTTGGCTCTCCTGCTCCGAAAAGTCTTTGTCTCGTTCCATAGGGTTGTCTGGCGTGCTAAGTCCCGGGACACAGAAGCTGAGATCCACGAGGAGCAAACCCTAGACAGAGGGTAGAGGTGCCTTCTCTGACCTCACCCCTCACCCCAGTCTCACCTCAGCCCTCAACACCACAAGTCATCATGCCCTTTTTGGTACCAGTCAGTATAGCCCTAATGGGCAAAACTCTTCTGTCCACCTTGCTCTGCATCCAGCTTGTATCCCAGTTCTGAAGGGCGACATTCCTCCAGGCACACACCCACTTCGATGGTTACCTCAAGAGCAAGGCCACATGGTACCCCCTGGGCTCTTGTGAGGTATTTTCCCTCTCACTCACAATCACCCTGAAACTGACCGTAGAGATTCCACCTTCCTCTCCTGCTGAAGCATCTCTTCTCTCCTTTCTTTCTCCCTTCCCACCCCTGCCACAGAAAATACACCTTCTACCAGCCCCCAGAGGGGCAAAGCTCTGGCCCATCAGTCACTCCGGCAGCCAGCCTGCCACTGGGGCTGCCACAGCGGGAAGGCCTCTGAGACCCCCTCCGACATATTAAAGACCACACCAGAGGCTAAACCTGCTCTCCGGGGCAGAAGAATAATCAGCTTATCTTGTTAGTTACCAGACATTGAAGGTAGGAAGCTCCTGTACTGCAATTTGTGTGATAATTGACACAACAAAAGATCAGAGCCTAATAAGTACCTCAGAACAGACCGATTTCATTGCTTCTCTTGGAGAAAGAACCATGGTGTTCTCCTCATAGACTTTGGCTCTGGTTGACCCTCTACGTTTGGAAACTTACATGTAGCTACGGCTGCCTGATAGTTCTCAGGTATTAATTATAATCATCTGCAAGTAGATGACTTGGGAGGAAAAATAGGAGAGGCGGTAGGAAATAAGAAAGGAAATGTATGGTAGTGGGGGAACTGTGGAAGAAAACAGAAGCCAAACATCCCCTTGAACCTACCTCCAAAAGATACTTGTTCTAACAGCCACCCTGGACAAACTCCATAGGGACCCACTAACTCTAGTGTCTCCTAGTCCTCAAAAGAAAAACTGGGATGATTACTGCAACACAATTATAGGCCAACAATACCGTTTAGTAGAGAACAACAATTAAAGTGATCAAAACTCCTACTTCTAGAGCAAACTAGTCTCCATTCTCTTCCTCTTTTCTGAATTTTGCAGCCCGTCTCTCCTGCCTCCCTCTCTACTCTTAGTCCTCCCCATACACTCATCTGTAGGTAGACACTTTCCCCTTCTTTCTTCTCCGTGCACCGCCATGCAAGCCTGACCCAGACGCGCATCTGTAAATGAGGTGGGCTACAATGAAGGCGAGACAGCAGTAAACTAAGCTGTTCTATCTTGAGGCCCTTCTTGTGGTTTTTGTTTTTGTTTGTCGGTGTTGCCACTTCTCCCTGGAAGGCTGATGCCTATGTAAACCAGTCTCCCTTCAACAGGGTACGCAGTGCTTCTCATTTCCCTTGACACCTTGCTGCATTCCCACACCAGCTACGTCCTGTCTGCCAAGCCCTTCCAAATGTGTGTGCACGCACGCACAGAGAACATCAGGGGGGGGTGGCACGGTGAGCACACAGCCCCCCAGCTCTTCACCCTGAGGAGGCCACTAAGGTAACACCCTGACCTCCTCAACCCCGCTCATTCAAGGGTTCCCGAATGTTTGCAGTCTGTAGACTGACCGGCTGTAAGTGTGCAGCAGGCAGTAAGGGGAAGGTGGATGAAAATGACACAGGAAGAAACACCAGGCAGGGACCCAGGCGCGGGAGAGACACTCACATAAGGGCAAGTGAAAAGCTGGCCCTCGCCCGAGGACACGATGAGAGAGGCCAGCCCTGTTAGACTCCGTCCGGTACCAACATAGGAGGCCTCCAGAGGGGACAGGAGGTGCTGCTGTGGGCTCGCTGAGGCAGATCTCAGCAGAAAGAGCTTCTGGTTCACCCCACCCAACGTTTCAGTGCACCGGGTGGCACCAGTAGAGGGCAGAATCAGCGATAGTGGGTCTGGCCACCATATACCCATTGCTTATCCAAAGCACATCCACTGCACATGGAGGAGACCTTTGGGAATTTTCCTTTAAGGAATGAAGATATAATTGAGACTCTTTAGCCAGGAAAGGAGAAAGCAAAAAACCGCCCCAGGCTCAACACGATTGTTCCCAGGATGTATTGCTAACGCAGCAGGACCCTGGATGTGGGGTCAGTTCTCTGGAAAATCAAGGCAGATCTGCCTTGAAGCTCCCTGGAAGCTGTGTCTACTCGCACTCGAGGTGTTGCCACATCACGCTGCTTGGGACTGCGCATGTGCTGCAGCCCCGAGGATGTCATAGGCCTCCCCAGGGCCCTTGGGGAGTCCATTGACATTGGTACCGTGCTCTGAGAAGGTGGCCTGTCCTTCCCAGGTTCCCAGACCCTACCTTGTCTTCCAGGCCCAACCCTCCCCTGGCCAAGTCGTCCTGCTCTCCAAATCCTTCCCTCTCTCTCTCCTTCCAGTTGTCCAGTTAAAAGCCCCACAGTAATTCTTAAACTGACTTCTCTGGCTGTCTTCAAAGATTCGGCGCTCAAACTGAAATGAAGCAAAAGCTGCCTCTTCCCTAGCTGTCTGACCCACAGCAGTCCCACATACGTGTACCACTGCTTCCTAAATGCAAGGGGAGCCACGGTGAGCCTTGCCCCAGGTCCTGAAGTACAGTTATTGCTGGGAGCTCAGGTGTGGGTTGGTTATACCCTTTGTAGAGGAGGGTGATAGGTACAAGCTTCTGACAGCCAGATATGAATTATCTGAGACAGTTCTACTTTCTGTACCATTGTATTCTTTTTGATAAAGCCAATTTTTACATTGCAAATGCCTTATTAAACTTTACACAAAACCCCCAAAACATTTCAAAGGAATTCCTTTTCAACAATGACTGAACTTTTTTTTGTAACCAAAGCCTGTGCATTTGGGGGTGAATTGAAGGAGGGAAGTCCAACGTTTCAGTGGAATAGTCCATGGATGACTAAATTTAGTATATGGTAAGCTAACAAGTATTAGTGAAATAAAATGCAAGTTATAGAAACCTGCTCTCATGTCCTCATTTAAGAGTGCCGCGACCCGGACTAAGCACCCTAAGGCACTGGAGTCTTCTTCCCAGTTTATCTCTCCTAGAATGAATCTGTCAAGGTTAGGATCCTGTCTTACTCATCTTTCTGCCTCTGGGCTACGGATGGCTGCAACACTCGGTAATTTGCAGCAATTTTGAAACAAGTGAACTCTTCACCCTTGGCCTCCTCTGTGTAGATGCCACGGGTCGCGACGGCTGAGGTAGCTATATCCTCAGTCTTGCCCCATCCCAGGCCACTCACGTCTTGAATCAGGAGTTCCTGTTCAGACGACCACAGTTCTGCCTACCTTCGGAAGTGTGGCACCGACTCCTGCCTACTTCTGGTTGTCTGACTTGAGGCCTAGTGTCCCAGAGCAGGCCAGCAGTGTGACACAAGCGCTCCTGAGTCAAAGTGATCCACTGTCGCATGTGCTGAAACCTGGAGTCTGGTACCTAAGGCTTCGCCACTGGACACCTGGGCAAACACCAACACCCCCACACCATCATCTAAGCTTGGTTCTTCCTTGCCAGGGGTCTGTTTGGTGAGTGTTCCAGCTCTTCCCTACCCTGTGCCATGCTCCTTTGCCCTGTACCAGAGGAAGCGTCTTACTGTCCTTTTAGCCTCCGTCTTCACTCTTGTCCCTGCTGTCCTTCCAGCCCTGCTCTTTTCCTAGAGGCAGAGGCCCTCATGTGAGCCCCTGGCCCAACAGCTAGCTCCCTGCTAGAAGCAGACTATCCTCAGTCAGGACAGCTACCCTTCTGTTCTGGATTTGGGACCTGGGCTTGGCATTGCAGCTCGGATGAGAACCTCACTCACTTGTTGAAGTCAAGATAGGGGTCTTCTGTGCCCTTTACCTTCCCTCGCTGGCCCTGTGCTTTGCGTCTGTCCCATTGCTGATAAGAGGACCTTGCCTCTTCCCAGACCTCCCTGCCAGCCCTCAATGGGACAACAGAATCTGCAATAAGACGGTGGCCCTCCCACCCCACCCCGCACTTGTACTCCATCTGAACTACGTGTGTTGGCGCTGGTTCTGAAATAGAGTTATTGCGGTACAACTAGATTGTTTGATTAATTACACTGATTGTAGGAAAGGACATGACTTGGTCACTTTCCTTCTTGCTGGGACAAAATACTCAACACCTACAACTTCAAGGAGGAGAGAGGGTTATTCTGGCTGACATTTCCTTGGTCATCCATCTCTGAAGAAGAAACAGTATGGTAGAAGAGCATGACAGAGGGAATGCTGTTCACCTCATAGCTATCAAGAAACAGATAGTGAAAGACAGAGCTAGGGAGGGAGATATGCCCTCCCAGGCCACGCCCCCAGAGACCCATCTCTTCCAAGCACGCTCCACCTGATAATAAAGTGATTCCCCAGCTGTATTGGCTCATGATCCTGTCACCTTCCACAAGCTCCACACCTGAATGCATGAAATTTGGGGGAACATCTAGATATAAACCATAAAACTCTGCCCTGGGCCCCAAAAGACCCCTGTGTCTATACGAAATGCTTTTAGTGCACCTACAACAGTTACCAAAGTCAACAACAGTTCCAGCATTGCTGAAAAGTTCAAGTCCAAAGTCTCCTCTGAGGCTTGAGGCTAACTCATGCTGTGAGCCCCCGGAAAAATAAAAGAGAAAGTTGAACACTACCAGCATACAATGGCACAGGGTAAACATTCCCGTTCCGAAAAGGTGGAATGTGGTGATAAAATCAAAGTGGCCAAAGCAAGACTGAGACCCATCTGCAAATATTAAATCCTAGAGTTTCAAGTCCAGTACCCAGGCAAGTTGTACCAATGAGATATGAACTCCAAGGGGCTTGGGGAGCCCTGCCCCAATTTTTTCAGTGAGGTCTTTCCTCATGTTTTTCAGTATAATCCCGACTACAGTGTGAACATTAGGTGGCCTTGAAATTTCCTCCTGCAGATTAATTAGTGTACTGCCCTTAATCTCAGTCTTTTGCAAAGTCGCAGGACATGAGAAAAAGTAGACAACTTTTCTATCACAGGATACTACACAGGCCTCGAACTCAACTGCAAATGGAGTCCCTCTTCCCATCTGAAAGCTCATGAGCCTAGTCTTCACCAGCTCCACTTCTATCCACATTCTGGTCTTCTGAGTTCTGGCCAGAATCTCCAGTCACGCTCAGCATTCTAAGGCTTCTCTCTAGCCAGCATCTCCAAACCTTTCCAAACGCTTCCTGGAAGCCAGTTCCAACAGCTTCTAAACCATGTGGTCAGCAATAATCACAGCAATGACACCACTCTGGCACCAAAAATCTATTTTAGTTACTTTTCTCTTCATTGGGACAAAATAGCCAACACCTACAACTGAGAGGTTTATTTTGACTCATGCTTCAGGCTGGTTGCCTGGCTTCAAAAATAAGCAGCATGCGAGGGACATGGTAGAGGAAAAACTGCTTACCTTATGGTAGCTGGGAAGCAGAGAGAGAGGGGCAAAGCCAGGGAGCAACACACACATATATATATCCAGATCATTCCCCCAGGGACCTGCCTTTTCTCACCAGGCCCCAGCTCATAATGGCAAACTGGCTGCATTTCTCCATAATCCGCAAGCCCTGCCTCTGAGCACATGAGGCTTTGCAGGGCCTGCAGACATATACCTTATCACGGTGAGAGGAGATATAACCAGACACGGTGAATCGTCGGGAATAGTCCTACATTATGTGATATCATTCTTTGGCTGAGGAGAGTTTACATTTCAAATGTGTTGTTAACCATTACACAAACTTTGAGCAATTAAATTTGTAGAAGAGGGGATTGTGGATGGGCAGCTCACTGGCTACTGCTTGTGCAATTTCTGGGACAGTTCTAGGAATTCTGAGCTTGTCCAGGGTTGCTGTATCTGCTTGCATCCAAGTGACAATCCTCTCAGCAGAAATGTGACCTCATCTCTGCTTATCTTCATGCTGGTGCCTTCCCATGAGCAGTTTGGCCTTATGCTCTAACGGTAGGCGTGTGTCTACAAGGTTCTCCCCTGCCACTATGCCCTCTTTCCCACTCTTTTCTGCCAGTGACATTTCCTGGACATTCCCTCCCCACTCCTTGCTGGAAAACTTTCCTGAGTCATCTTATAAATGGAGGCAAACTTTTGCCTTTCTAGAGCTATTTACAAAGCTTTCTCTGGGGAAGGTATTTTTAGCATCTAATCCTGAAGGTAGGAGGATGAGAAGGGCTGAGACAAAGTACAAGGAGCTGGAAAAGGGATTCTTTTACAGTTTCCCGATATCCTACAAAACATATATATCCCCAGCTCCAGCAGAGGCTAGTGACAGTCAAGCCCGAACAGCCCTTATCTTCCTCCCCAAGGCCCCCGCTCGTTGTGGCATCGCTGGTCCATTACTGAGTAAGTGGGGATAGATAGCCGGCCCGAACCTGAGACTGAGTTGAAAAAACATCTCCTGAATGCACTGATCTTCCCTGGCTGGTCCCAGCCCCCGTGAGCACATACTCCCCTGATTTCTCAATAGCTTCGATTTACTTTAAGTTTCTCCTCTGATTATCAGGGAACCACCAGGAAATGATATGTGTTTCGGAGCCTGGCACATAGTAAGCACTCAGTAAATGTTAGCTATTAATAAGAATAATAAATCCAGAATGGGATCCATAGGAGAAGTGCCTAGAAGCTGCGAGTGGTAGACAGAGGACTTAGATTGTAGCACACAGCTAAATTTTTAGCACATGGTAGACCATTCGTTTAATGTTGTGAACTAGAGAGAGTTTCAGTTCTTTAAAGGGTAGAAAGAATGCCTTCTGGCCAAATGCTAATGGTTAGGAGTCCCTCATTATTCCTAAATTTTAGCAGAGTGAAAAAGGCTTTCCACACAGACTAAGCATCCAGCTCAATGTCTAAGATGGAGATTCACAACCAAAATACCATCCCATCTGTCTTCTGTCTTGGCTAGGGAAGTTCTAATTGGCCAGCTAATGTAGAGAGCCTTTGTAGGGCCTGGCATCTTCTATGGAAAAAGGCAAGTCTAGTGACTACAAACCAATTAAGCAAGTACTCTTTGTAAGATACATGACTAAAGCCAAGGAACAGAGTGATAACCTCAGAGTAGAGAATTAACCCTGCCTCCACAAGTTTGGGGCTACTCTATTGCTTTCTATATTGTCTTCCCATTGCTGGGACAAAACACCTAACACACTCAGTTTAAGCAGAGGTTTATCGGGCTTATGATTTCAATGGTTCAGTCCATGGTCAGCTGGCTCCAAGGCAGAAACATCATGGTGGAAGGGTAAATCTTTTTAGTTCATGGTGGCTGGGAAGCAGAGCAAGGTAATAGCTTTCTAATACCCTTCTCCTTGTCAAGTTGCTCTACACAGAGAGGTTGGAGTTTTAACTCCATTTCCCAGGAGTCTCTGTACTTCCACTAATTCTCCACAGGTTCTCTCATGTGACTTGGACTTCCAGGCTGGGGCACAGGATTGGTCCTCTGCCTAGGTCCTCTGCCCTGGACCTGGCCCTTGGTACAGTGGGCTGGAGGACGAGAGTCCAGCCCTTAACCACAGTGAAGCACCACCTCCCTTTGAGACCACCGGAGCTGAAAGGCATTGCCTTCAATCTTCAGATTGGACATCTTCATATAAGACACTGGCTATTCTGGCCACCGTGCCCCAATTCTTTGCCACCAAGCAATCCCAGCATGCCTTGTGATTGTCAGCAGAAAATGAAAATGAAATTTGAGGCAGATTATAAGAACAAAACAGAAATCTACCCCTCTAAACAAAAACCCTTCAAAACAAAAGTGTAGGATGGAGGCACGAGAGGGTTTTACTCAAAGAATGACAGTGGTCAAAACTGTGCTTCAAGCAGTGGTGCTCAGCAGAGTGGACTGGTGGCCAGGCAGAGGCCAAGGGCAAAGGCTGGCTCCATGGACAGAGGTGACTCTCCTTCAAGAGAGAAAGGAGGGACAAACGTGCAAAGTATTTCTGTAGAGTGTTTCTGTAGAACCTATACCGGGCTGATGGCTGTAAGGGAAGGAAGAATACATTATTAAACAGCTAGATGATTCCAAGCCTACTTTGGAGGGGAAGTATCCATGCCAATGAGAAATGGGGGGCAGCATTTAACAAGCATTTACTGTAAAAAAATGAGCACTGGTAGCAGTCATGGAACATCAGGAAAGGGACCTTGCTTCAAAGGCTACACAGAGAGAGACGGGGGTGCCACTGGAGCTGCAAGAGCTGCCCACAGCTTAAGAGCTAATGAAGCGTTCTTCAGAAAGGAAATCACAGAAAATCGTGTAAAAAAGGAGAGGCCATCAGCTTAGACCACGTTACACTGACCCATAGGTACAAGAAAAAGCAAAACACAAGGTCAGGCCAGTGGCTTTAGTGTTTAGGAGTCTGTGGTCTCTGACCCACCCGACTCAGTCAGCTGGCAGAGGGAATAAGGTAGCAAGTGTGGGTCCCTTGAGCCTTGAGGAAGGTAGGTGAGGAGCACAGGAACCTTCTCTGACCAGTATAAAAGCCCAATTGCGTAGACTTTAGTCACTTAGCTCTTAACCCCATCAATATTCTAGAGAAAAATTATCCCAGATCAGATCACTTATGGTCCTCAACAAACTTAGTTGAACAGCAGTAGTTGCCACCCGTTAACCTCACCCCTTTGTTGATCGGGATTTTCCAGATAATCACTGGCCAATAATCCGTCTCCAATTTGATGCTAGCATCTCAGGGATCATCTAGTCCAGCCAAGCTGGGACTGACCCAGAATGTGATGGTGGGGGCCTGGTAGAGCCTAAGACCTGTGAAAAGCTTTAGGTATTTTTATCAGCTGGAGAACCCTCTCTGTGGTTCAGTTTGTCACTTGATCTCTGGCCTTCTTCATCCTTTGAATTAAGGAAGGGCTGCCTGAGGGTAGCGATGTTAAACACACAGGGAAAGCTACCTTTCCTTGGGGCCACCGCGGGAGCTGAAGTGGCTGCTGTTCTTTTGCTAAGTGGTGTGTCTACTCAGATAGGACATCTTTTTCTAAGTTGCACAAAGGAGCACTGGCTAGTGGGGCTCCTGCTGACACATTTGCATTTGGAAGAACATGGCATGAGTCAGAAACAGCTTTCTCCTCAGGAGACG